AGCTGAGCGAGAACTTGGATCTAACAAGAAAGGGGCATTTCCAAGGCAGCATCTAATCAAGGGGCCAGAAGCTGAGGACACTCACGACTATCGACTGAGGGGGTCCACCCTCTCCACAGGGCCCAGAGAATACAGTCCCAAACCTGATGACAGGCTTGGGAGACCCTGGCAGAACTGTCAGGATGATAGGTGCCCCCTCCTCTTCATTTCTGCCTCGGGGGTCTAAGAGCAGTGATAGCCTTGGCCTGAAGGGGAAGGACTCAGGTCAGCAGAGGGAGGAGCCTAAGGCCATGCCAGAAGCCCAGGTGAGGATCTTCAAGGAGCATTGAAGGAACCTCCCAAACCTTAAGAGAGGGATCTCGGCTTCACCCTGTCCTTGTGGTCATCCCCTAGAGCCCCATGGCAGAAAGATATAGAGGCCCCTGACTTCCTCCTGGGGAAGAGAGATGCAGGTCTCAGGAAATTGAGACTTGGATGAGGGGTATGTCTTCAGAACAGCAGAAAGGTATGCCAGTACCTCCCAGGAATCCAAGAAAGGATCCTGATGAAGGAGTAAAGGGACCCTCGATCTCAGAAAAGAAGGGTCCTCAGCCCCACCATGCACCTACGATTAGCCTTGGGAGGCCTCAGGAAAACGCAGCCCTATATGATGGCCTTTGAGTTCTTTTGGAGGGAGGGGAGAGCTCAAGGAGAGGAAATCTTTGATCTGAAAGGCGCTGGACTCGGGTCAGCAGAAGGGAGGGCCCAGGTCCTGTCAGTAATGAAGGGCACGGTCCTGAGGGAGGATTATGGGGGCCCCCACCAGTAATAAAAGCCCAACCTAGCTGTCAGCTATGGGAAGCCCCATGACGTCAAGTTTGGGCAATTGCAGTTTTTTTCACTTCCACCTTGGAATAGGGAGGTCTGGCTTCGTCTGAGGTGTGAATCCTTGAGTCAACACAGGGAAGACTCCCAGAGTCTTCCTGAAGGTAATTAAAGACCCTGAGGGAGGATCGAGGGTTTCAGGTCCCCAGGACACACAATGGGGACTTCCCAGAGCTGGGGCCTTGTGTCCTTCTGCGAAGGGCCATCGGCAGGATGGGGACTCTCAGGGGCAAGTCTGGCCAGACTTCTGCAGCCAGGTCTCAGAGACACCAGGGAGCCTGGGTCTCCAGAAGGAAGGGCCCTTGTCCTGGGGGGATTCCTGGTAAGGATGCAGAGGGAGGATGGAAGGAGCTTGGACCCCACATCAGAATCAGTCGGGCAGGCCCCCGGGTGGGATGGGGACACTACGTGAGGCTGGACTTCAGCATCCAGGTCTCATCAAGGACCAGGGAATGGGGGGTGGCTTGGGGGTTGGAAGGGTGAGCTGGGAAGGATAGCTCCACTATCTGTCAGGAGCAGCCGCTCAGGTGGGCAGAGGGAGAGGGCCCAGGTGCTGTCAGGAGACAAGGCCCACTCCAGCCCACAGCGAAAAAGTCTGTCCCTGCTGCAGGCCCAGGGAGCCCCTACATCCGGTGGCCAGAGGTGGCGGCGTCCGATCACTGTGCCTGGGCAGTGCATCTCAGAGACCTTCATCTGAGACTCAGTTCTGAGGGGCAAGAGCTCGGGTCCGCAGTGGGCATGTGCAAAGCCATCCTCGGAGTGCAGGTGTCCACCAAAGGAACACTGAGTAAGGGACTCTGGCCCCCAGAATAGAGGCCCTGGCCCAGAAGGCAGCGTTGGGAGCTCCTAGCAGGTATGAGGCCCGAGGGGTGTCTAGACTTCCTCATCCTGGTCTGAAGAGACTGACTGGGGGGAGGGGGGAGGAGGTTTGGTGTCTTGAGAGCAGGGTGTTGCCGAGGGTCCTCAGTTCGAAGGGCCCAGAGCCTAATAGGCTTCAAGGTGAGGACAAGAAGGGAGCACCAAGGGATCCAGACCCAGAAGGGAATCAGTCCGGGTGGGGGGGGGGGGAGGGGGCGAGGCCGCAGGGTGGGGCGACTATAAGGACTATGGGAGGCCTTTGGGGACTTCTGCATCTGGGTCATAAGACACGGGGTGCGGAGGGTGCTGGGTTTCCTGCCGCAGTGCCTTGAATCGAGTCGGCAGCAGGAAGGGCTCAGAGCCTGCTAGGCTTCAAGGTGAGGACCAGAAGGGAGGATCCAGGGACTCAGGACCCAGAGGGGAATCAATCCATCAGTGGCGGGGGTGTGGGGTGCAGGCTGCAGGGTGGGGTGACGATGACGAAGTGAAGAGGGTGGGCACTTTCGCTCTGGGTCCCAGTCAGACTGAGAGCTTGTTGTGTGTGAGGAGCAGCCCTCAGGAGGCAGAGCCCGGGGCCCAGGCCATCCGGGGAGTCCGGGTGGGGACGAGAGGATAGGGCTGAGGGACCCCAAGGAAACCATCGCAGCCCCTGCCGTCAGCTCCGGGACACCATAAACCTTGTCGCCTTGTGTGAGTGACGTCCACAGCCTTGGCCCGTGCTTCTCGGGGCCGGACTGGACTGGGGTCTCTGGTCAGCGATGCCTCCTGGGCAGCTGATCACAATGAAGCGCGAGGGGACAGTGGCCACACTGCACTCACTGCCTCGATCGACGAGTGAGAGCCTGGGTCTCAGGCACACGGACTCATGTGAGCAGAGGGTGGGGCCCTAGCCCGAGCCTCCCGGAGTCCAGGTGAAGATCCCCAGGGAGCATGTACTCTACCTTGACCCTCCCCCCTGCTGATGCCCTATCCCCGGATCCCATCTCTGGTCGATGTTGATGGTGCTGCGTCCCAGAGACCTTGGGACCCGGGTCTGTGGGGCACGAGCTCCAGTTGGGCCGCGCGCGGGCACCCGCACCCGCCACCCCCAGAGTGCAGGGGGTCACTAAGGGAACACCGAGGGAGGGACCCTGGCCCCAGAACAGAGGCCCCGGCCCAGAAGGCGACCCCTAGTGGCAGCCTAAGAGAGCATCTCCTGGGTAATGAGGTCCCATGGCGTGTCTGGACTTCCGCATCCGGGTCTCAAGAGACTGGCAGGGAGGGATTTTGGTGTCTCGCGAGCGGGAGCTTGGCGTCTCGCGAGCGGGATTTTGGCGTCTCGCGAGCGGCATTTTGGCGTGGAGCTTGGCGTCTCGCGAGCGGGAGCACCGCCCAGCCTCGCGTTGGCAGCTAGAAGGCCCCCGAGCCTACTAGGCTTCGAGGTGAGCACCACAAGGGAGAGGAAGGGCCGTTGGACCCCAGCACGGAGTCGGCGACTGGGAGGGTCCCGGGCAGGATGGACGGGCTGTGTGTCCTGACTTGGGAGTCTGGGTCTCAGAGAGTCGGCACCTTGGGAGCAAGGACCCACCAGGTCACGACGCAACGTGAGGCGATGCCACGCGACTCCACTCGGGGGTCCGCCCAGGGGAGGGCCCCTGATCCGCGGGGAGTTGGCGTCCAGGGGAGGACACACAGGGACGAGGAGGAGGGGAAGGCACCAAGGCCCCAGAACAGAGGTTGGTTAGCGCACCGGGTCCTGAGCCTGCTGTTACCCCGGGGAGGCCCCAGTGTGCGTGTGGTGATGCCCCGTGGCGGGTCCGGACCTCAGCAGCCACGTCTCGGGGACTCGGTGGGGCCTTGGGGGAAGAAGCTAGGCCTCCAGTCGGTAGAGCGCAGGGCCAGACTCTGACAGGGGTCTAGGTGAGGAGCAGAGGGAGGGCCAGGGACCCAGAACCCAAAAGGGAATCAGTGAGGGGGGGGGGAGGCGGGCGGGGTGTAGGCCACAGGGCGGAGTGACGCGAACGGGAAGCCTGTGGGGTCTTCCACTCCGGGTCGGGCCAGACTGACGGCTTGTTGTGTGTGAGGAGCAACCCTCGCGCAGCAGAGCCCGAGGCCCAATTCATCCAGGGGGTTCCTGTAGGGGAAGAGAGATGACAATGACTTGAGGGACTTGAGGCCTGTGGGAACTTCCGATCTGGGTGGCCGCCAGACAGAGCTTTTTGTGTGTGACGAGCAGCCTTCAGGCGGCAGATCCTGAGGCCCAGGCCGTCCAGGGACTCCAGACAGGGACGACACGATCCGGCGGAGGGATCCCAAGGAACCCATCGCAGCCCCTGCCATAAGCCGCGGGATCCCCAGACTTTGTCGCCTCGTGTGACGTCCACAGCCTTCGCCCCTGCTTCTCGGGGCCGTGAGGGCGTTGGTGAGAGGCAGTGGGCCTGGGGACGGCAGACAGAGGCCTGCAGAGGTACTGGGGCTCCTCCGGAGATCCTGCGGGAGGACTGCGGGAGGCACCTTGCTTGGACTCCAGCACAGGGAGAGCCGCCCCCGTGGGGGAACCTGGGACCCCAGGGCAGGGCCTGTCAGGCTGAGCCCCTCCGCCTTTCCAGTCCCGGGGTATCAGCGAGGGGAGGCCTGGGTGTGAGGGCCTGGACCCAAGTCAGCTGAGGCAGGATGCCGCGCTGTGGTCAAGGTGGAGGTGAGAAAGCAGGAGAGGCCTCCCAGTGCAGGAAACCTACCTAGGGACCAGGCCTGCCCAGACACTCGTGTCAGCCTAGGGGGGACCCGGGCTAGGTGGGTGGACTACTTCCTCCTGACGTTTTCTTCTGGGGTCTTGGAGAGGAGGCCTCGGCTTAAGGAGGGTGGCCTGAGGTCCACACAGGGAGTTCTTCCAGGCCCCCCAGGGGGTCCTATTGAAGGCTGAAGAGGGGCACCCATCCCAGCACAGGTGGAAGCCAGGAAGTGGCCATCCCTCCCGATGGGGGACAACCACTGTGGACCTTTGGCAGGCGTGTCCAGATGTGGCCCCAGGGCTTCCTTATGTTCCACTATCAGGGCTGTGTGGTCTGGTCCTGAGACTTTTGCCTCAGGCCAGCAGAGGGGCGGGGCCCAGACCTGCCAGGGGCCATAGCTGTGAGCAGAGGGGCCAAGTAGGGGAAGGCCCAGGGCCAGATTTGTGGGGCACCGCACAGAGTGCAGCCCAGAATCTCCTGGCAGCCCTGGGGGTGTGGGGTGAGGACCCAGGGTGGTGCTTAGAGCCTGCACCCCCCACCTGAGGTGCCCCCTCCCTCTGTCTTCCAGGGGCTACCGGCTTTGGAGTTGAGGCCCTGGTCTGAGGCAGGAGTCCTGAGGTCACAGAGCACAGGACGTGCAGACTGGTGCCCGCCTGTTGTCAAGGTGATGTGCATGTTGTGTGTGTGGAGCCAGGTTCTTGCCCATCCCACCCCAGAGGGGCCCCTTGGCCCCCAATCCCAACACGTCCCTGCTCTCAGGTCTGGTTCCTCGGGCTCTCTGGGCTGGGCTGCCCCCTGAGGACCCCCCCTCATCTTTCCTCAGGTTCTCACAAACATCATGCCCCTGCAGAGGGAGGGCTGGACGCTGGAAGAAGACCCAGAAGAGGCCGAGGGCCTGGTTGATGCACAGCTCTCTGGGGCTGAGGATGAGGAGGAAACCCCATCTCCCTCATCCTCCTCCCCCTCCTCCTCCCTCTCCTCCTCCTCTCTCTCCTCCTCCTGCTCTTTCCTGTTAATGATCCCCGTGGAGGAGGGGTCGGCTGCTGGGTCCCTGAGTCCTCCCCAGAGCCCTCAGAGCGCTGGCCCCTCCCCTGCTGACATGGCAGGTGCTCCAGAGAGCCAGTCTGATGAGGAGCCCAGCAACCCGGATGAGGAGGAATCGAGCTCCTGGGGAGACCCAGCAGTGGCCGAGCCCTTGCTCCAAGACGCACTCAACATGAAGTTGACCGACCTGCTGGCGTTCCTGCTCGTCAAATATCGCACCAAGCAGCCGACCACGCAGGCAGAGATGCTGACAGTGGTCAGCCCAGATGTCCAGGACCAGTTCCCTGTGATCTTCCACCAAGCCTGCCAGTACCTGCTGCTGGTCTTTGGCGTTGATGTGAAGGAAGTGGACCCCGGCGAGCACTCCTACGTCCTGGACACCATCCTCGGCCTGACCTGTGGTGGGATGCTACGTGGTAAGCAGGCCATGCCCACGACCAGCCTCCTGGTGGTGGTCCTGGGAGTGATCCTCCTGGAGGACGAATGTGCCCCTGAGGAGGAGGTGTGGAAAGTGCTGGGGGTCCTGGGGGTGTATGATGGCAGGGAGCACATATTCTATGGGGACCCCAGGGAGCTGCTCACCGAGGTCTGGGTGCAGGAAGGGTACCTGGAGTACCGGCAGGTGCCCGGCAGCGAGCCCGCACGCTACGAGTTCCTGTGGGGTCCCAGGGCCCACGCGGAGACCAGCAGCGTGCACGTGCTGCAGCATATCCTCATGGTCA